ATATATATATATATATATATATATATATGTATATATATACATATACATATACATATACATACATATACATACATGTATGTCAAGTGAAGCTCAATCTAAAGGTAGTTTTGTTTTGTAATGTTGAATAACTGTCAATATGTGTTCATGGCAATAAAAAACTAAAACAAAGACGGATGTTTACAGGAAGCTACTTAAGATGTTAAACCATGAAGTGTATGGAAGTCAAAATAGCCATCTAGCTTTGAGAAGTAGAAAGCACTGGTTATGAAGAAAATAATGATATTTTCGTGTCTGGGGGACTGACCTGCTACTGAGAAGTTGTTGAGTGGTGGTGAGGTCTGGTCGCTTAGATCAGGCTTCTCCTTGTAGCCGATGAAAGAACCATCATTCTTCAAGATGAAATACCTGGGCCTCCACGTTTTGATATATTCACCTGAATCAAGTAAATCCAATCAATAGGCATACCAGTGGCCTTTTTGAATGAACCCTTTAGCTCCATCTGATTGAACCAAAGGGTTCTCATTTAGAACACTTGTAGTGTATTTCGCTCGAAATTATCAGCATGACAAGACCTTACTCATCCTTATGCTCCTTACCTCGTTTGTGAAGCCAGCCCTCTCTGACTATATTAACTTCATTCATGGTGGGAGATGTGAGAGAGTGTAAGGAACAGGAGGTCGGGGAGGGGAACAGTGGATTTCTCTCTGGCCCGTTCAAGTCTCAGTTATCAAATCTGAACAGCAACTGCTGAATGAAACAAGCAAAGAGGTCAATTAAATTCACTTCATTTCCAGACCTTTGTTTTCTAAAGTTAAACGTCAAAGTTAAAAACCTTTAGAAATGAAACACAAAACCAAATGAAGAACCGATGTACAAACACAACATCAGGATACTGTAATGGCTGGTCTGATTATAACAAGTGGCCGGCAAAGAAGCACAAAATCTGTAAAAGCGTTCAGAACCCAAAACACATGCTCAACTGAGTTTAACTTTATGTAATGAAGTACTTTTGAAGACTTTCATAACTGCACACGGCCCCCTTTTGGATGGCAAGCTATACCATATAATGATGTTAAAACAGTAGGACAGTAGCAGCATGGCTGTAAATAACTAAATGTGAATAAAGTCATCACCACTAACTAATAGTCTAGTTCTACTTGTTATATTGTTCTGAAATGGATCAGTTGTGTCATTCTGAATGTTACCATTAGTGTGACATCTGTAGATGACAAGCTGCTAACCTTTGATCATAGATCAGCCCTGTCTTAACAGGACTTCAATTCAATCACCTAATCCTAAACAGGAATAACGTTTGACAAATGAAATACTGCATATTAAGTATTCAAATATCTTAACAATCTTTAGTTAGTTATGGTGAATGTTAGCTACTGGTGACAACTAGTGTTACAAAAGTCTAAAATTGAGTTGACATAATGCTACATAAAATGGTAATGCTGGTCGCGTATCTGCATAGCTTAGCGACACATGTGAAAAATAACTCACTTGTGGATAGCTATGGATCATATTTCGTTTCAGAATATACATCTAGTTTATATGGTGATTTACGGCTGTCCATAACTGACTCATTATAATGCACTAGATTTCAACATCATTTGTATGGACAATCGAGTAGGAAACAACGTAAAAGCACCTCTGCAAAAACTTTGATGTTACCACATTTTAATATCATTTTGGAGAAGCATGTAACATGTAACATGTAACGAAACGTAAAGCCCGAGTTTCGTGTGTGATCTGGCCATCGAACAGAGAAGACAGACTTACCGGTGGGAGAAGTGCGACATGTAAAGCTAATGTTAATGTCCAGTGTCTTAATAACGCCAACCTTACGGGACAATATAACATTAACCTTATGGCACAAGTAAGTTAGAGACTTTTACGTTATATCGCTAGCAAATCTGGTTCAATGTTTGATTTCACCAACCAAATCACAGTGTTTAGCTAACGTTATTACATTGAAGGCTGGCAGTTAACGTAAACATTAGTTAGCTAGCTAGCTAACGAGCTGTTAGCACTTTAACGCTGACAGCTGTTAGCTCAATGCTAACAGTGATAAATTAAGTTGGAGAAATGTAAATCTAACTAATAACCAAACAAATATCTGACAATTAATCCAACGGTATATTAGTTGTGCACCTGAAACATCGAAACACCGAACAAATATCCCAAATTTCAAGTCATTTTACGTTAAATGTCATCAAAGTTAGAAGTCACTTTGCTAATTCACGTTAAAGCTTAGTATCACATATTTAGCTAACGTTAGTGTTTTACAGTGAAAAAGACAGATTTGTGCTTCCATACGGTGACTATACTTATAGTTAACGTTACCGTGGTGTTGCTAGCAAATTATATATCTGTCATAAATTGGAAATGTTTGTTTATTATTAGTAAACATGTCTTACATTTGCGATCATATGCCTTCTTGTAGGTTACTGATGTAGCCTTGCTAATAGCGAAGTACGTTAACGTTAGTCAAATCATTATTCTTATTAGTTATGAGTTACAGGTTCCATAATTTATCCCGAAATCTGATATATTTTACATTTAATGATATCACAGCAGGATTTAACGCATATTTCACTGACTTTATCCCACGTTCCTCTCGTTTCAATGCCGTTCTGACAGGCTCGATCCAGAGCAGGCCGTCCACCCAGAAAAACACCGTGGACTTTCTTCTTCTTGGTAGCAGATAGATGGTGGTTGATCTTTGGACACACACCGCCATCTGCAGACAAGACGGCGCAAATTAATCTCTAGTTAGTGTGGTAGCTGTGCAGCAGCAGCAATCTCAGGGAAACATGATCAGAACATCAGCGTTTAGGCTACCCCAAACCGTATAATAGACAATAGGCTTCCACAATGAAACAAATAAATAGCCACATTCAATCATATTGTAGTAGGAATAGAAAATTGGAAAAACATATACATGAATGCCTATTTAGAAGTATATGTATGGGGTAGCCTAAACAGTGATTTTATGATAATGTTACCCTGAGATTTCCATTGACGTAATAATAGTAATGCCATTATGAAAGAGATGATTTTGGAGATGACTTTTGCTTAATTATTTATTATTCAATGTTTGTATACATATTGTAGTTGCTGTTCATTATAGATTGTGGTATCTTTGATGGTGGGAAGCACCTTCTAATACAGTAAATGCAAATAGTAAGGCTTGACAGCTCAGGGTCCCTGATTGGCCTCACCTGAGGAGGTGCTGACTAAATCTGTCTGGGATGTTCCTTGTTCTTCTTTACCTGAGCAGCACCAAAACATTGTATTAAAGGTAATTGCTAGTTATAATACAGTGTGCTGGAATTCTCTCTTCTCTTGCCTATTTGCAGAACTTTACCCCACCACATCAGTGTGAAAACCACTAAAACTCAATCAGTTTTCATTCTTTTCCATTGCAAACTCATACCAAGATATTTTCCTAAATATTACTTTAAAAAGTGTAACATAACTATTATTAACCATGGCATGGCAACATAGATGCACCAGCTAAACAAGAGGTCTGTGGAGCTATTAGCTAATAAATAAATGCACATAATGTAGTTTGTGAAAGTGAAATAAATCAGGACCAGCCCCAAGGCAATCTCAGACATATGGAATACAGTGGCAGAAATTTCCCACATACGGCACTTAAGAACAATTTTGAAGCAATTGTACTTTACTTGAGTATTTCTAATTCATGTTACTTTTACCTGTACTTCACTACCTTTCAAAAGGAAATGTTGCACGTTTTATTCAACAACAGGTGACAGCCATGTTACTCATGACTTTGTTGATTACATTTTCACACACAAAACATATGATAAACAAATACAACATAATGCATTGTTATAAAGTAGACTCCTTAGGTGAATACCTCAACAATCAACAACACTAAAACGCTTATCACACCTCAATGCATTATTTTTGATCATACCTTGGATCAACAAAAACCAGGAGATGGAACCAGAGCAACAGCCAACAACCCTGTAAGAATAGTTCATCAGTACCTCCCCTGCCACATGCTTCAATCATGGGGAGAACCAGCTGTGGCTCATCGCCATTCATCACAGCTTGGTCTGAAAGGCCTCTCTCCAGCCTCAGGCAGGACAGAGGATGGTATCAGGACTGATCTGCTAGGCCTCTGTTTTATTCCACTGGAAGAATGTACAGAGAAATGGGGGCGTGGCAGTGTTGTGACTGCGAATACCAGGCACCCGCCCGTCAATTTAGAATGATTCTGATTCACTTATATTCACATGGTGCCAAGAACAAAATTGGCCAGTGCGGACATTTCATGAATCCAACGGTAATTATGCATGTGCACTTAATTTGTGCACAAAGTTAGAACATTGCTATGCCCATATTAGTGAATGAGGCCTTAGGGATGTACTTACCAAACTGACTCCCAATGATGATGTCGAAGAATATATGGAGGAGTTTGAGAGGAGAGTGACATAAGAGCCATATATTAGTCCTTGTTTTTTTCCAGCTTGGTCAAGCCTCACATTAATAGAATTACAGCAGCATCCATAATCATGACCAATAATATAGCTTTCTGAAAGGGTTGTATTACTTTTTTGCCAAAAATACATCTTATCGATAACATTTTTATGTCGATAAATGTAAAATAATGAATCATTTGAAAATGTTTTTGACTGTCCATAATTAATGTTTATCTCTTTGTAAGATATCTGACGCTTGGTTGCCACTTCTAACAAGTCGGTATCACGTGTTGTGTCTGTGTCGTCGGCGATCAAGAGTCTTAGTAGCCGGTTAGGATGGATAAAAGGGATAAATGGCTGAGTTTGACAGTAAGCGCCCGGCTTCACTACGGTACAAATCAAGTGCTCAGTGACAAAAGGAGGCTGCCTCTGTCTGGCCTCACGGACACTGGAGTCTGACTGCTCTCCAGGCGGCAGGTTATGTGAATATTTACCGGGGCAACAATTGACAACTGAGTTGCATTATTTTGCAAGACTTTTACTTGTAATTGAGTACTTTTACAAAGTACAATAATCCTACAGGGTGGAAGCTGCAGTTGTTGTTCTTCCTGTTGCATATAATGTACTGGGTAATAAGAAATGGTAGTACTGAATTGTCAGAGATGTGTTTGAGGTCATTTAGAAACGGTGTCTCCATCACATTTGTCCACCAGAGAACACCAGAAGTTTATTTTTCAGATGTAATATGTCCTTGTTAGTACATCTTGAAACCACAATTGTTTAAAACACAAGAGGCATTCTTATATATAAAAAAAAAAGTTTGGGAATGTTACATGTTCATCTAAACATTTTTCATATTGACCAGTATCTCTTCTTCAGATTTGTGTTACTCTTAAATATCAAAATTAGGTTCAAAAATCCAATATTGGTCGGGATTTGTAAAAATAGCCTAATTTCTATCAGGTAAAAGAAATTGTCCAGGCATTGTATGATAACACATTCACATCTATGAATTATTTTCCTGATCCATTCTTCCGTCTTTTAGTCTTCACCTTTTGGCTGTGCACTGTGCAGCTCCTGAATCAGTGCTGGAAGAGAAAAATAGTAATATAGCTAAGGGTATAACACAAACTCATTCTTTTAATATTAATAGTTTATATAAGCTTCATAAATAAACTTAATGTCAATGGACAACATACAAGGTAGAGCTCACCTGTGATAATCTCCTCCTTCACTTTTTGAAGTTCTTTTTTCACTTCTTCAAGAATTTCCTTCAAACACATATGCAAAACCATAAGACCGTGGTATTAAAAAGTTCTTAATTGCCAAATCCTTGATCATAATGACAGTCAATCAGTATTTCAACTCTATGCAATAACATGGCACATTAGTGGCATCCTGTTGTGCTTTTGATGACATTACTCCCTGTTGCTTGCAAATTCCCGACTGGGAAACACATGCAGAATCTTACATCGTTTTTACCATCTTTGTTCATTATAAACAACAGCCACAACATTTCACGTGCCATGGAAATTATGTGGTTTTTGATTACTTAAAAGTTGATAATGAACAAGAAGATGAAAAAGTTATAACACAGTCATAACACTTTACTGTTCGTCTTGCTGCAGGATGGTGTTTTATGTTTAAAAGAGCAACCAACCTCTTTGATTCTTTCCATCTCACTATTATTTCCTGCACCATCAGAGTTCGTTTTCACCACCTTCATCCTAAAACAGAAAGAACCATGTTTACCCTTGGCCAAAACAGACTTTTTGAGATCAAGAAAGAGCTTGCCAGGAGAAGCAGCGTACGTTATTTTAGGCAGAAAGTTATTTCAGACAGAAAGAACAAAATGTATTAAAAAATCTTATAAGAGTGAGAGAAAGAAGGAGGCACAACAGCAGCAGTCAGACAGTTAAAACAGTGAATGCAATCAGTGCTTGTCTCAACAGCTACTTATACTTCAGCAGGAGCAACCACATCCTCAAGTCTTTATAAAGACATTTGAACAAGTTCGCTTCAGCTAGTTTAATTTCACTGAAAATCTAAATGTCCTGTTCTGCTTGTCAATAGACTGGAGTTTGTGGAATTAGTGGAGCAATGACTAATGACTCATGTAGACCAATAGTAATACTCATACCTGCTCTGACATTCTGACTTCATGAGCAAAACCTCCCCCAGTTTAGTGAAACAGTGAAGTAGAAAACTGTCACCAAAGGAGCTTAGTAACACGTCTCAGTTTCAGTCACTTGCTACAATTACAGCCTCAGACAGAAACCACCGAATGTCGAATGTTTTATTTGATGTAATGAGTCATTTGCAAGCAACACAGCACTAACGATAACAGCAGTGATACCAGTGCCGAGCTCGTTTCACTGGCTCATACTGTAGTCAGTATTCAAAGCAGAGAGCACTGAGACGGAGACTCTCAGGACGGGAGAGAACCTTGGCAGGTGGGGACAGAGGGGGGACTGATACCTGGATACTGGGGTAGTGGTGGAGTTAGAGGAGGTAGAGGTGGAGGAGCTGGGGCTGGAGTCCTTCTGATTGTTGGTTATGGGTTTGGGCCTGTTTAAAAAAACATGCAGATCCTTTTAGGCAACTGCTAAGATTTTTGAATTTGTATGGATGTCTCAGCGGAGTCTGTTAATTAGCACCAAGTGAGAGGTGCCTGTGGAATGTTATGTAACGTAATGATCAATCATGTGGATAGTGAAAGCTTTATTGATTAGGCTCTTACCTTGGATTGATGGCGGCTTTTTCTTTGGGCTTTCCATCAATTTCTGATGGAATATGATTATATGTATTATTACAGTACATGGCCATAAGATCAAATTAAATGTGATAAATGAGTTAATATATGAAGCATATTTTATTCTAAAGTTGATCCAATGTTTTGGTTGTTGACAAAGAATAGAACAAGAATACATTTTTTTTTTCCAAGTATGATTTGGTGTGGCAATGAGAAGGTACAGTGAAAAGCAATTAATGTGGCTGTAATACAGTCCCGTAGGGCAGAAAGGGACACAACTCACCTCCTGCTCCAGACAGTTTTGATATTGAGGAGTCAGAATCCTCCTGTAGTCATATACAGACATTAACCAAAGTTATCATTGACTCTTATCTTAAATCATGCTGCTCCTTCCACAAATATTACAGAATTATGAGTGGAAGTCCAATAAAATCACTGACATGACACTTACATTGTGAGGTTCTACCGTTTTTGAAGCAGGATTATCAGCAGCTTTCCTCCTATTTAAAATAGTTGCATAATAGAAATTCAGAAGTCCCTAGCTTCAGATCATCACATACATATCTGTCTTACATGTCTTGTTTGTAAGAACTTACCTCCTAGCAAGGATGGCACTCATCTCTCCCATTAGACCACCTCCTCCACCTCCACTTCCACCAGATGAGGGTTCTGGTTTCGGGGATGAGGCTGCTACTGCTCCCTCATCCTGGAAACACAAAAACCCCTCCAGTCACCTTGTTCACAGAAATTTGGTTCATAGATCAGCGTACTCAGTCCGTCATTTACTAGAGCATGGAAACCAAAATCACACATCAATTGTGCTACATCTTTGGTACGGTCTATACAGCAGAGCAAGTATGCATCATGGTAATTGCGAGTACAAAAAGGTGAAAATGCATGTACCTTACCTTGACTGCTTTACGCAGTTTGGCTCCTGACAGAGCTGCAGCCAGATCGTTTCCACCTCCGCTACCTCCACTTCCTCCAGCAGGGGGCAGGGGTGGTGCAGGTGGGACAATGACCCCAGGAGGAGGTGGTGGAGGGGCAGGTGGGCATGGTCCTGAGGAAGGTGGTGGGAGTGGAGGTGGTGCAGGAGGACTAACAGAGGTCTGCATCTCCCTCTCCAGACGTTCCTTCTCCTGCTGGTCCTGCCTCTGGCACTCTAGTCTGGACAGACATCGTCAGATGGTTCTAATGTTAGTGTTAAAAGCTCTTTCATATTTATGTTTGGCTTACTCCACAGCTGAGTTAAATCTATAGCAGTGCCATTGAGCTCTGGAATAATTAGTTGATTCATTGATTAATCATTTCAAATAGTTATGAAGCACAAGAGCCTACAGAGGTTACATACACAGGATCCAGCTTCTTCTGAGCATTATCAGCATTGTTAACTGAATATCTTTGCATTTTTCAATCAAGTTTTGCCTGTTGATTGAACAATCTGACATCCACTTGGGTGATGGAACATACTTTTCTGAAAATGTTCTAAACAGTTAATTGAAAACAAATCAAGACAGCAATCCTGATGAAAATGAAGATTAGTTGCAGCCTCAGTATTATTTATAATAAATGGTACCTTCTCTGGTGTTCAAGCTCCTGTACAGAGGGTCCCGTCTGAGCCGTGCCTGAGCAAAAACATTGTTTTGATAAGTGTGCTGAGTAAAGGCTATTTAAACTAAAAGAAAGCAGTCGATGCAAGCAAGCTTCCAGAAACAACCAGACTAAACTTAAGCCTCAAAATCAATTTGATAGCATACATTCATGGTATACATTGTAGTAGGTGTTATTAAGTTCATGGAATTTCTATATGCAAGTACTTTTGATGGGAGTCATTAAGCATATTTGATTTTAGCTTAATGGAAATAATAGAACACTCTTTTAATTGAGCACAGCACTCAACATATTGCTTGATTATGGATGTATTTTAAAATTATGTCAGTACATACTAGCACAGCCAAATTAATTTATACTATATAATTTATATAATTATTTTACTTTTTTAAAATGTAGTTTTATAAACGTAGTTCAGGAACGGGGCCACACCCAGAACACCGCTCATTTCCTCTGCACAGATTATTTAAGCACAACGAACTCGTTCACTCCCTCTTTGACTCTCGTCTTCACACGACGTACGACAGACGCTCTCAAACTCAGCAGACGCTCCATCCCTACACCCCTCGATCTACACCCCTCTACCTACACCCCACATCCAGACGAGCAACGCTCTCTGACTCAGCTTTCATACGACCCAAGACAGACGAGCAACGCTCTCTGACTCAGCTTTCATACGACTCAAGACAGACGAGCAACGCTCTCTGACTCAGCAGACGAGCAACGTCCCATCCCTACCCCACGCTCCTACCTCGAATCCTACGAGCAAACGCTCCCCTACGAGCAAACACTCTCCGACTCAGCTTCAAGCTTTCATACGACGCAAGACAGACGAGCGACGCTCCCTGACTCAGCTTTCATACACTTCAACTCAAGGCACGACAGACAACAACATCTTAAAACCGCTTACCTTTCACAAAGGCTCTCCTCAACCCTTCCGGACGACCAGCCATATCCCGAAGCTCCCTCGTTTTCTCACCACGCTCGTCGCTAGCAACTTCGGCTGCATTTAGCCATCCTCATTCCCCGCAGCTCTCGATAACCATCCTCCGTCAACTCCGAAGCCGTCCGCCCCCGCCGTCCAACAGCCCGGGGGAGATCCCGATTCGGAATCCCATCTTTCGACCCTAATCCTCTCAATTCCTCACCAACGCCGCTCTCCCGACAGCCGGAGGTCCAGGCGCTCGAACGACCGGTGAAACCACCGTGACACTCATTCACCATTCCGAGGCCCCGACAGTCTCTATATATCCCACTTCTCCGAGCGGACAGTTCTCTCAAACGAAGGAAGCAACAGTCCTTTACATCAGTCCGTTACAAAGCGCAACTTTCCAAACTTTTCAAGCACCCGCAGCACAACACCTCTCTCGCGCTCCGAGCCTCCAGAGCACTTCCAGGTTCCCGGCCCCGTCAGGCGCGCGCCGTTGACGTCATGACGCAGCACACGGCGGAAGAAGCCCATCCATCTACATCAGTCCCTCCAGAGGGCCAGGTCGTATACTCTGATTGTGAATCTTTAATCTGATTTTAATGCGGCCAATAAGTACCCTATTAGCGCAATGAGACCGGTACCAAGGCTATGAATCGATCCTTTTCAAGACGAGCCACGATTAAATATCTGTCAAACTGCATGCGGGAGTCAGATATATGGCGTTCAGGAGAAGGTGTTTTAGTGTAAGTTAGGCTGCCGCTTCCAGTCTGCTGTTGGTCCCACTTAGATGTGTTTAGAGAAGGGCAGTCCCACGCCATACTGACTTAGGCCGTCAAGCTCCCCCTGCGCCAGAGACATCTCCTTGCAATGTTTTCCCCCTAACTTCATGATTAACCCAGGCACATCCATCCTGGCATCCTTTCATGTTCTGTTACGTCTACATTACATTACAGTCATTTAGCAGACGCATTTATCCAGTGGACTAGCAGAGCCGGAGCCGGGGATTGAGCCGCCAACCCTCTGATTGAAAGATGGCCCTGCTATCCACTTAGCCACAGTCGCCCACCTTCCAGCTTCTACCTTCCAGTTCCACCCACCTCGGCCAACTTCGGCTAACTCCTCCCACCTCTACCGGCTACCCCAGCCGCACAGACCGCTCCAACAACAGAACAGGTAGGTATATGGCACAGCTAAGGGAGCAGCTCGGGGTTGGTTTTCTTGCCAGGGACAGTCACTTCTTCCTGCCTATGCCGCCCCCCCCCCCCCCCCCTACCCCCATTAGCGTTGCCATCACATCTTAAACGCACCTCATTTCCACAGCTCTGCCAGCAGACAATTCCAGCGTTCTCTGACTCCTCCAAGTCCTTACCACCGATCCCAACTACCGGTACCTTTTTTCGTTTCCTTCAGAAGGACGTGTATTACTCCGCCATGCGTCCGACCAAGAGCAGCCGGAAAAAATTTCTTACCTGAAACCGGACAAACGTCTTGTCACCTCAACCTCTCGGTGCATCTCTTAATTCTACTGTCTTAATCACCACGGCCATTATCGTGCTGCCACCCACTGGCACGGAAGAGTATTTAATTACGTAGCCAGCCACTATGTCGCAGGCCCAGACGCTCAACCATGGCCTTCTCCACACCCAGCACATAGTCTAAACACTTGGCTTTTCTCCACCAGATAAATAGAATCAATAGATTAAACAAAATCCTCCTTGCCACACATCCCGTTAGTCCCCGCCGCCATTACAAACCTCCATGACCACGTCACACTTGACGAAGCACGTAAACCGAGCTAAACCGACACCAGTTCCTCTCGGCATCTCCAACTTCCATGACGAACACATCACTAAGCCAGAAGACATCCACATTTTCACAGACGCAGCACCCTCGATCAGCTTCGACGGCTTCTACAGTGACAATCGGTCCTCGGCCGCTTGAATTCTCATCCCCCACACCTTCCTCCGCGATCTACAAAATGCATTCCATAGTTATAGTAGCCATTCTTTTGGGGCATGAACGGTCCATCAAGACCATTGCCATCCATTCGGAATATAGCGCCTAAACGGCTGCCCCTCACTTCGGACCTCCTCACCTGCGGCATCCTCACCCCCAGCTCAGGTCATCCGTCTCCCTTCACGGACAAGCATTAAAGTCCACGTTCTTGCCAGCTTCTTTCGCTGCTCCGAGTTCACCGCCTTGGACTCCATCCATCCCGACATGCCACCGCGTTCGACATCACATCCATCCTCCCGACACGGTCGTCTATCGCCTCAAATGCCGCAAGACCAACCAATACGGTCCACTTCAACCATCTACCGTTTCCGACCAGACTCATACTCGAGTCCGTACGAACCCATCCGCGACTACTTAAGCCCAGATTTCAGCCAGCCGAATTCCCCGCAAGATCCCTGTTGCGGTCTCGGGCTCACCACCACTTCCGCCATATCTTGGCCCGATCCGGAATACCCCCGAGTTTACTCGGCGCCGCCTCCACCTCTACAAGCCAAGGAATTTCCAACCACACCCTCAAGATACGCGATCGTCGGTCTTTCCCCGCGTACCTCAGGTAAGTTCGTACCAACCCAAACGACTCCAGAAACGGCCATCGGCATCAGCTATCTTTTGGGGACTCTGCTCCGCCAGAGCTTCCGAAGAGATGGCCCCCACCCTACAGTCTCCAGTCCGCCTGTTCCCGCCAGTTGCCGGACATCAACGGTCCCCCATCGATCGCCTAACCTCCTTTCTACAAACCCTCCTCGTTTCTTCTTCCTGACATCCCTTCATCTCTCTACCCTACATCCCTTCATCCCTCTACCTCGACCCCTTCGTCCCTTCATCCCTCGACCCCTTCATCCCTCGACCCCTTCATCCCTTCATCCATCGACCCCTTCATCCCTTCATCCATCGACCCCTTCATCCCTTCATCCCTCGACCCCTCCATCCCTCGACCCCTCCATCCCTTCATCCCTCTACCTCGACCCCTACCCCACATCCCTTCCTCCCTACCCCCACATCCCATCATCCCTCTACCCTACTCCCCTTCATCCCTCTACCCCTACCCTATATCAATTTCATCCCTCGATCCCTTCTGCTTCTTGAATCTAACAATCTTTCCACTATGCAATAAACCTCTCGAAACTCGTACTGTTATTGGCGTGGTCCTTGTTAGTGAAATCAGAAATGGCTGAGGTGAAAAGTGCCCTCTTGCATTGCCGTGTTTACCTGTGCCCGCCGGTGCATTGAGAGCCTCTAATGCATGCACCATGGAGTTGGCAAAAAGAGCAGCATCCTCTTTACTGCCAAAGTTCAGCCCCCACACCTGTTTGGGATCCCGCCACTGGTGGAAGGTTGGTGTGGCTTGATTATACTTTATCCCTTTGATTATGGGACAGTTGATTACCACCTGACATGAACAGGAAACACAGGATAGTGACTGTATTGAGGATTTGAGACTTTGAGGGTCATAGATTGAATGTCATGTACAATTAAATGCAATTCAGACGAAGGCCAGATGTGAGTTGATGCTAATGTATAATCATTTGTGATGTTTTGATATTTTTCATGCTTGAATTAATTAGCCTGTAAGGTGTAAGGGCTGTAATGCGACTAAAATCAACTAGGTAGTAATGATACTGTATTGTTCAAAAGGAGAACAGGAAATAATTTCCAATCTGAGCTCCAACTCATCAAAAACAACACCCCAGCCAGCCAACAGATCCACTGAGGAGGCCGTCTCCACTCAGCCCTCACTCTTAGTCTCTGATGGTCAGAAATCACTAAACTTGAAATCTGTTCAATGAACAATCAGAAACTCCAGCTACAGTGCCAAGCTACATTGTCTAGTTTGTGTGTTTGTTTCATTGTGTTTTAAGGGAAGTGAATTACAGGCAAATTAAGTATTGACAAAGTTCGGTGGGTGTGATCTTCCACCAGAGAGACTATACTATGTGTGTGTACAACGTGAAGGTGACTGTCTGTTTGGCTGTGTGTGTCTGTATGTGTGTGTGTGTGTGTGTGTGTGTGTACATGTACACTTGTCTTGTACCTGCTGGTCGGCCTGCAGTTTGCGGCCCACCACTCTGAAGGTGTTGGTCACAGGGTTGTGATAGATTTGGACGCGGCTGAAAGAAGGACTGTCAGATCCCGCCGGCACCCACCGCTTGTTGCCGTCATTGTACAGCATGACTGTCGCCCTCACTTGGCAGATACTGGACTCACTGTGGGAAATGATGAGGAAAAGATGATGAGATGCAAAGTACAAGAAGAAAGGGTGGAAGAAAGTGGAGAGCAACAAAATAAGTGTATAGTGTGATATGTTGTGTGTAGAGGTAGTATCGATATAGACACCTTAAAGAGGTTCTCCCTGAGATCTCTGGTCACCTGTTGTGTACCTTGCCTATATGTAAAAAAGTATGAATGGATGGCTTAATAGAATAATGAATAGAACATTGATATTGGGCGATTCAATTTTTTTTAAATATGGTCAAGGTTAGGCAACACAAATACAAATATGGATGTACAGTAAATCCTAGGATACTGGTCTGGATAGATCAATGACAAGCGTTCAGACATGAAGGCTAAAGGTTCACCAGTTCATCTATTTATTGAACATGAAACACAGGAAAGACCCATCCAACAGGGTGGGTGGCAAACCTTAATACTCTTTTGGTGTAAAACACAATGTTAATGTCAAGTCCTACAACCTAGTGGTAACTTGCCTAGTCAGATTTGTAGTTTTTCCCTTTCTTACATATGTTTTTGTAGACACATTCCTGTTTCTCACAGCAATGTGTCAGCATATATATATATATATATATATATGTATATGTATATGTATATATATATGTATATATATGTATATGTATATGTATATGTATATGTATATGTATATGTATATGTATAT